GTGGTGATTAAGTCCATTGGATACAAAGACGGACTTCCAAGGAGTTAACAGTGAGGATAGCACTAGAGAAATAGATAATAAAGGAGAGGGAGAGAGAGATAGAGAGAGAGAGAGAGAGAGAGAGAGAGAGAGAGAGAGAGAGAGAGAGAGAGAGAGAGAGAGAGAGAGAGAGAGAGAGAGAGAGAGAGAGAGAGAGAGAGAGAGAGACGTGCACCTCCTCCGCCAAAATTCCATACACTCGCCTGGCAAGTGGCACGGACAAATACCGTATTCGGCCCAATCTCTGTCGCGCAATAGCATTTGACGGCACCGGCTGTCGTCAGCTTGCTGCGTCCCATGATGGAATGTAAAATGTTTCCCATCATGGAGCTTCATACCAGTGCGTACTGCGTAGGTATATGCCTTTGTTGGCATTGTCATTCTGTACAGATGTTACCCTAACCAAGTGGCGTAAAAAGCATAAAGAGACAAACAAATAATCAAACAAGCAAGCAAACCAGCTCTTATCATAACCGACATTTCAAGCCGGCAGAAGTTTGCTCAATGATCGCCCCACGGTTGACGATTGGAAGGAGGAAAAGGAGGGACAAAACTATCATAAGGGAATTAGTTGAAATGCAACGTCCAAGGCAGTATGGGCGGTACATACGGAATAGAAAACATTGATGGGCATATACACAGGAGTGCACCTGAGCTGGACGATTCGGCTCCTTGCAGCGGTCACAGTGAAACGAGCGTTTGGATGTAGCCCGGAACGTCGACCTTTGTTCCGTGTTACCGGATCCCCGGCGCGTTAGCCCGCGCCCTGATGGGGTCTGCCGAGCAACGCGGTCTGATGGGGGGGGCATTTTGGCCCCCCCCTAAGATCTCGCAAACCACGTAACATAGCGACAAGCGGTAAACGGTGTTGGATAGTCCCAACGGGGAACTACCTTGTGACCCAATTTCCTTGACCTCGGTCAAACCGATGACGTCACAGGTCAGGTCAAAGGTCGAATTTTCACCGTTTACAGGCATTTCAAGAAATGCGTTGTAAAATCGAGTAAAATGCATTTAATTGAAAATCATCGATGGGGAAATGTTCTTCAAACACATATTTTGCTATTTGAGGTCACTGATACCAGGTCAGGTCACAGAGGTCAGGTCACTGGGGGGTCACAATATGAAAGTGTCGTGTGATACATGTTTTATGGTCCATTTTACATGACAAATGCGATAATGTGGGTCAGGCAGACTTTTGGGCCGGCCTAGGTCCCGTTTTGGTCAAGGTCAGTCCAAGGTCAGGTCAAGGTCAGGTCAAATTAGGTCAAATTTCAAAGTTGATATTTTTGCATAAAATGGGCATCGATTCGATGCAGCTCGTCACGGGGGGTTCAATGGTGGTCTCCGTTTTGCGCTACGAGGTCTAGAATTGCTAAAAAATTGAGTTCAAAAATTGACGTCATCAATTTTTAACAGTTTTTTCGCTATAACTTGGCCAAAAAAAAGGTATCGATCTAAAATTTGGTGTGTATATCGAAATGCGCAGGGACTATCACATATATTCCGTTTTTTGAAATTCGAAAAAATTGGAATTTTTTTGAGTTTTTCTAAAAAAAATCATTTTTTTATTTTTGGGGGTTACAATCCCAAAATTTCGAAAATCCGAGATAGCAGTTTTGTAGCGCCGTCTTTTTTCTACACAGCCGCATAAAAAAAACTTTAAAATTGCTTGTTTACTGTAGAATTGGTGAGCGTTTCAAGATGTCATGTTTTTTGCTCATTTTTACTCGAACATGACCTCAGTTTGACCTCAATAACTCCTGACCTGAGGTGACCTGTGACTTGAAATTTTGTGTGAAGGTGTCAAATTGATGCCCGGTAAGGTACCCAAAATTTGGCGGCGCTGCGCGCCGCCGTTTTCTCGCTATTTAAAAAAAACCACAGGGGGGCCAAAATGCCCTCCCCCCCATCAGGGCGCGGGTTTTAACAGTGAAAAGTCTCTGGCGATCTTAACCCGCGCGGGGCTGGGGGGGTAAATTTTACCCCCCCCCCTCGCGAATATTTGCGATATCTCAAAAACGGCGGCGCGCAGCGCCGCCAAACTTTCAGTACCTTTTCTTACATCAATTTGACACGTTCCCTGAAAATTTGAGCGAAATCTGTCGGAAATTTTTTGAGAAATTGACGTTTTAGTGACGTCATGTTCGCCATTTTCGCCTAAAAAACGGCAAAAGTTCAAACGCCGCTAACATCTTCATTTTTAAAGGAATCAAGACGTAACAAAAAAGGTTATACGTAATTTTACTTTGTCTATCAAATGGCTATCTCGGTTTGTTGAAAATTTTGGATTTTGGCCTAAATTTTTTCAAAAAACTGACTGTTTTGGGAAAATCATTATAAAATCCAAAATATTGAGTCTATCGAAAAAACCGGAATATATGTCAGAGAAGTGGTCTATGTGCACCTACATACCAAATTTTAGAAGAATCGGTTCAAAAATGTGGGAGTTATTCAAAATTTTATGACGTCACGACACACAAATTTTTTGAAAAACGACTTTTTTGGAAGTTCTAGACCTCGTACGGAAGCAAAAATAGCACCATTCGATTCGCCGTGAAAAACTGCATCAGATAGACACCTTTTTAGGCCTTAACAACCAACTTCAAAATCTGACCTCACTTGACCTGACCTTGACCTGACCTCGACCTGAAATTCATCCAGAGGTGGTCCATATCACTTATTGAGTGTGCCTATTGAATTCTATGAGTAAAATGACCCATAAAACATGTGTCGCACATGCCCTTTTCTATATTTTGTTTTTTTGTGACCTGACCTGACCTGACCTGACCTTGACCTTGACCTCTGAATGATATTGTATGCAACGAATATTGTCTTGGTAGCCTAAGAACACGTTTTGGGCGATCAGTCTCAGTCCATGACTCCATTCTTCGGCAACTACGGTGCAAGGCCGATACTGTATAAACTTGCAATTTGTACCCTTGACCTGACCTTGACCTTGACCTCAAACTTTAAATTAAGTACATGTTTATAGTATTTCGTGATGAGAGCTTTCGATTGGCGTTTGAATTTTCCAAATCGGACCATTAGTTCGGGAGATAACAGGGGGGGGGGGGGTAAAATTTACCCCCCCCCAGCCCCGCGCGTTCGGCTGGAGACCCCAGCCCCGCGCGGGTTAACCCGCGCCCTGCTGGGGGGGTGTTTGAACACCCCCCCTTGTGGTTTTTCGCGAATATCTCAAAAACGGCGGCGCGGAGCGCCGCCGTTTTTGGTACACCTTATCATACATCAATTCTACACATGTTGTGAAAATTTCAGACCAAGGTCATTCAAGGTCAGGTCACCAGGTCACTTGAAGTGACCTCACCTCATAAAAAGTTTCAATGTCTGTCGTAGCTACATCGAGTGATCGATCGCTTTGAAACTTTCAGCGATTGCTAAGAGCAATAGCATGTACAAAATGTATATCTCAGAATTTTGATATCGATGACCTAAGGTCAGGTCAGTTTTGCGACCTCCCCATTATAAGTCAATGGGAGAAAATTGAAATGCGCCTCTTTTGGACGAAAGACATTATAAACACTCCCAAACACTGAATTACAAGTGGTTTAGACACACTGAACATGAAAATGGTGTCCGTGACCCCTGTTTATGCCCTGAGGTCATCTTAGGTCACGAATGGTATCTAACAGTTTTTCGCAAATAACTTTTGATAGAGGCATGCTAAAGCGATGAAAACGCCTTAGATGTGTTCAGCTCGACGATACGGATCGACTGATATGCAACATGACCCTTTCCAGTCAGGTCATGACCTTGACCTGAGGTCAAATTTTCAAGTTGACCTTTCAAGGTCAAGTTATAGTTCATTCGATGCGTCTTGACGAGAGGAACACGATGCCGGTAAAAGTAAGCTCGTACAAGGCTTGGGTCAAAAGTTATTGCAGAAAAACTGTTTCCGAAAAAAATCGGCTATTTTTGCAGTTTTTGCCCCCTGCAGGCAAAACCGTTGACGTTAGGTCAAATCTAAGAAAATTATTCAGAAAGGGCGTTAATAGGGCTATCGAATGCGCTTTTCCGCGGCGCTGTAGCTCTATTGGTTCCTGAGTTATGCGTTGGCTTCTTGGAAATTGTCGACATTCGACCTGGAAATCGGCGAAATTTTGCCTTCAATGACCTCTGGTGACCTGACCTTTGACCTGACCAAAAAATTGACCGAAGTGATTTCCTCTTTATTTTTGACGCTCTTTCGAACGCCGCTTTCCGCGTATCGCTACGTGGCCCAGGAGCCGAGTTAGAAGGGGGGTGTTCAAACACCCCCCCCCCAGCAGGGCGTGGAAATCCAGGACCCCCAGCCGGGCGCGGGTTAATGAGGTGACTGCAATGGTTTGTTTACTGGATAAAAGTATAACAAGCCAGATCACTAAGATGACGATGGTTGGGATGCATGTTAAATTCAGAAGGAGGGCGCAATTCCCGGACTGCAGGATGGAAGAATGATGCAACATTACAGGGTCGATGGTCAGACGTGGCTTTAAGAGCGTAGTGATGAAATACGAGTGTACTTACATCCACCATTGTCGTTATCCCCATGCTGATCGCTTTCAATGAATTGTGGTCCTTAGCCTCCCCAATAATGAAACAGCATATGGTAAAGGAGGATAATGATATATAAAAAAAAAATACTGATAAAAATACTTTTCGTTGGCAAATCTCGAACGACGATTAAGAAAAGCAACTATTTCAGCAATAAAGTGGATAAGCCCTCACTTCAGCTTCAAAATCAAAATTAGGCCATGACCTTGGGTCGAAAGACTGCAGATTATGGCTCAGTTTAGCGGCTTTATAATTCAATTTCTTTACATCATTCTTTTTCCGATTCAATTATGCGTGCAATAACAAGATCATTTAAATAGATAGCCTGAAGCTAGACGAGAAATAATAAAAGAACATTGAATCGTTTCTTTCAAATTCAAAACGAGTCGAACACTTACCAACTCTCCATCTACGCATGGTGTACAGTGTACACTAACCAGCCACCAATAATCTCACCGACGAGCTTCGGGCCATACTACCGCGACCGAGCGAGCGCTGCTGTCTCGTGGGTCAGCCTGTGACCTTTGCCCTTCGTCCACTGGTCAGAGGACGGGAGAGAGCAGAGAGAGGGAGAGAGGGAGTGGGGCATTTGTGAGCTGGGAGCGAGGCGTAAGCTCAGTCGAGCATTGGTGATATCCTGTCCGGGCCTGCCGCAAGTGGTGCAGTGTGATCGTTGAAACAATAGGACGGGCTGCTGAAATGGGTGACCTTTTGTTGATCTGTGACCGTTGATCGCCACGGTGAAGAGGTGACACAGCGATCAGTGGTTATTGGTGGTGAAGTGAAGATAAGCAGTGACCGATGACTTTCGGTAGAGTGTAGACTGAAGGCTGGGTGTCGCTAACTTGTGCTATAATGAAGATTATTTTGTGATCTATTTTGTTTTGGGCCGCGACGACAAACTGCGGGTCAGCTGTGCGGTAACTCAGCTGTGCCAGAGGTGCGATTAGAGATTCAGCGCTGCAATTCTCTCCAACAAACACTGCACATCATGGATACACTATCAAGTAAGGTATGTAGAGCTTTTGAAGACGTCTGTCGGATAGAGATGAGCAGCGTTTACATTGAGAGCAAACGGTTTGATGTTTATGGTGGTTGGATACATTGACCTGGGTACGATGAACCGTTTGCTACTGCAATGAGACTCATTTGGAAAACGTTCATGCCTACACCGCTCGCTCAGCAATGGGTTGTATGAACAGCCTATTGCCCTAGTCATATGAGTTACGGGGCATGTCTAACGCATATTGCCTATGAGTAGATATATCAGACCATTTTTAAGATTACCCGCATTTTAGCTGTATTGTATGGCCTTTTTTGATGTAGCGGGATTATAGCAAGACCTCATTTTCTATTTAACACGCGCACTGCAGCGGGTCTGAGCCGAACACGAACTGCAGGGGGGGGGGGGGTTGAAAACAACCCCCCCCTGAGATCTCGAAAACGGCGCAACGTAGCGACAAGCGGTAAACGGCGTTGGATAGGTTAAGATGAGATCGATAAGAAATACTAAGATCATTTTTGGGTCAGGTCAAAAACGAGGTCACCAGAGGTCACCGAAGACAAAATGTTACGATTTTCACAACAGGAATTTCGCGGTAGTTTTTCTTGAATAACTTGTCTTGCACACAAGACAGATGATCGATTCGAGCGCCATCGTTCTTAGCTCGTCAAGGCGCATCGAATGATATATAATATGACCTCGAAAGGTCAAGTTGAAAATTTGACCTCAGGTCAAGGTCATGACCTGACCGAAATAGGTCATGTTGCATATCATTCGATCCGCATTGACGAGAAAAACACGATAAACGTCGAACGGAGTCTCTATCTCTACTCAATCTCAAGTTATTGAAGAAAAACCGCTGGTGACCTCAGGTGACCTAAGATGACCTGGAGATCACCTTCCAAAGGTCATAAGTGATATGTTTCGGTGAAATCACCAACAGGGACCTGTAATACTATGATCCTGAGCGTATTGAAGTCATAGGATGGCATTCAGAGTAAGTTGAAATTTCTCCCATTGACTTATAATGGGCCGGTCGCAAAAATGACCTGACCTTAGGTCATCGATATAAAAATTCCGAGATATACAAGTTGTAGCTCGTGATGACTTTACTATTTCCTGTGGGTTTCAAGATCATATCTCAACAACTGTGGGCTTGGTGGGATTGCAAACTTCGAAATTTACGTTTCGAGGTAGGGTCACTTGACCTGACCTGGTGACCTGACCATAGGTCACCTGGGGTCAAAATTTTTACTCAAGGTGTGCAAAAGTTGTGAGAACAGGTATGCAAAATTTGGCGGCGCTACGCGCCGCCGTTTTCTTGCAATTTGCGAAAAACCACAGGGGGGGGTTGAAAACAACCCCCCCCCTGCAGTGCGCGTGTTAATCCATCATAAGTTACTCAAAATAAGTTGGCATAATCATTATCTGACTCATGATAGCACTTACCTATTCGTAATAATGATAGATTTAGGATATTTGCAGTCTGTGTAATTAGGGCAACTCTTACTTATTTTATTCTTGAGCTAAACACATGCATGCTGATTGAACAGCAGTAACTGCCGAAGCATTATTTGCTTTTTAATGTGGGACTTCGAGGAACTATCAAGCAATGAAACAAAGCATTTCTGAAGTAGAACAAAAAAATCCTATAAGTTAAAAAATCAGCACAGCACTTTGAAATTTATTTTTACTTTAACCTTCATTCTATCCATAATTCTTAAATTTATTTCCAAATTGCAGATGTAACATTCAGTTATTAAATCACATCGTTTTATCATACCATCTAAAATCGCAAAACATGGCGTCATCCGTACGTTATTTTGAGCTGACATATTCAGCTTATTAACCCGCGAGTTGCTGGGGGGGGGGGGGCGTTAAACGCCCCCACTTTTTTCGCCGGGTCATAGCATAAAAACGGCGCGCCGCAGTCGCGCCAAATTTTGGGTACCTGTAGGGAATTGATTGAAGTTTATTGTGACAAAGTTTCAAAAAAATCGGTCGGAAAATTTTTGAGATATCAAGGTTTTAGTGACGTCATGATTTCTGAGTTTTCGACCAAAAATGGCATATGTTCAAAAAATCATATAAAATCACACAATAGACATACAGACATGCCGTAAACGCCATTAGACTGCCAATACCATGAACAATCAAATGGCTATCTTCGATTATTGATTATCGTTCCGCATTTTCCAAAATCTTGAACTGAATCTTGGCAATTTCTCGTGACTACTTCACGACCATGATACATGAATTTCTTAACCCTCGCCCTGGCAGGGGGGGGGGTCGATGCGACCCCCCTAAGGTTTTTCGAAAATAGCGTAAAAACGGCGGCGCGCAGCGCCGCCAAATTTGGCACAGCCTATGGGGAAACCTTTTTACATATGACCTGAAAATTTCAGGTCCGGGTGACCTTGGGTCAGGTCACCAGGTCAGAAAAACCGGTACAAGGTCATGGTCAAATTTCAATTTTCTTTTTGCACCTGTCCAACTCACAGTTTTCGACTGATTTCCTTCAAACTTTCAGGATGTGCTAAGTTCACCGAGTTGTGTAACATATAGTCCGTTTTTTTTGAGGTCACTGACCTGAGGTCAGTTAGAGGTCATTACGTCGTAATGTTAAGCCTATGGGAAAATACTAAATTCGGAAAATACTGGAGATATCCGCTTCGTTTTATCACTTTTGTGCTTTGAAACCACGGTACTTAACAGCAGGTCACTTGGTGCTTCTTTGTTTGTGTACTTATCCATGGGTCAGGTCAAATGAGGTCAACTGAGGTCAAATGACGTTTTTGCCAATAACTTGGCACATAATGACGCTAGAGCTTAAAAAATGGTATCATTGTGTTCCTGGTGATCAGCCGAATCAAATGATATGCGATATGATGCAATTTGGTTAACTTGAACTTAATTTATTAATTTAAGTTTACTTAAAATTTAAGAAAAACTTTAAGTACACTTAAGCAAGCCAAAAAGTATATCATTCGACGCGCCTGGACGTGCTGAGTTCACTGGTGCTTTTCGTTTTGCTCTATCTTAATTAGATCAAAAGTTATAAGCGAAAAACTTTTGACCTGTTTTTAGCGAAATTTTTACATTCATACCCCCCCAAACCCCCCTAAATATTGACCTAGAGCAACCAAATTTGCACAGGGGCGAGAACTCCGGGGGGCCCACCTACCTACCAAATTTGGTGTTTCTAGGTGCCATAGGAGCCAATCGCGAGGGGGGGGGGTCGCATCGACCCCCCCCCCCTGCCAGGCCGTGTTATGAAAAATGCCCTGCCAGGGCGAGGGTTAAATTGAACTTTTTGAGCCAAACACGTAAACATATGATAAAATGAATGTCACCATCGTGTTCTAAGCCCTAAATTACCCATAAAACATGTGTCACAGGCTGCGAATATCAGTTTTGATTTTCGGGGATATGTGCCTACCCGGTTGACCTGACCTTGACCCTGACCTATGCTTGATTGACGCCTACATGGAGCTGGCACTCTTGTAGGCCTTATATGATGGATTGTGTACCGTTTTGACAGAGTTTATGATGAGAGGCGCCCATTGCGAAGTCCTGAAGTCCATGCTACTGAAAGCCCGATTTTGGGTGTTTGACCTGACCTTTACCCGACCTGTGACCTCAAAATTCAACTTTAAAGTACTCATCTGAAGCGTCTCGTTGCGTTCTTTCGTTTGCCGCCTCGTGCGTTTCGCTGCGCCTATTGGTTCTCGAGTTATCGGCTGGGGGCGTTTAACGCCCCCCCCCCCCCCAGCAAACGGTGGGTGGCGAAATACCCCAGCAACTGCCGGGTTAAAGGTTAGTCGGCCATTATGTGCATGTAAGCAAATATTTTCAAATTCTTCACAAATTTAGAAGGATACTGGACATGGGAGCTCAGTACGGCACGCGAGCTATCTTCTTTGCGACAACCCTGCATGACAATTGTACAAACAATGATTTTGCCAAACTGCCTCCGCTTTTGCTGCGCGAAACAGCCTCGCGTTTACATAGTCCTGCAGATGCGCCATTCCGTCTAAGCCCGCTATCACTCTCCTAAGGGTTTATCTATCCCCTATCTGATCACAGTTCCGTGTAGTGCCACCAGATGTCGGGAACATGGCTGCCCGATAGCGGAGTCAGATACACCATGACCATATCACAATTTCTGCGGTCACTGCGAATGCTCCCCTGTCCAGAGCGGTGTGCCGGGGAGCGAGTGCCGACCAAGAACCGACGCCCCCTCGCCGCCCCTCGCAGAGTTCATTGACGGAGCGCAGAATTCCAACCACGTGACTTGTGACGGGTGAGCGGGTGCACGTGCACTAAGACGTGTTCAGCGATCGGTGCGCGGTTTGTGTGACAGACGACCGTCCGTTTTGAGGGGTCGTGGGAGGGGACAGGGGAGGGAAGTGTTTGGTTAGGCAATGTAAAGCATCCGGGTTAAGTCAATGGCGTGAATTACTGTTCTAACCAAGCAGCAGCATCGTCGGTATGTGTCGTGATATGCTGTAATTAAAACAGGTAAAAATAATAACTTCGAATTATAACTGATGTGGCGAGGACTTATCATCACCTAGATTTACCCCGTCGCCTACGGCCGTACGACCTAGTTATCTAAAAGTTCAGCATCCGGACTTATACCTATTGATCTGTTCGTTCAGTTACAATACCCATAAGATATTGTTTCTTTAGTACCTACATGTGTATTGATCGACCATCACGGTTCCAGAAGCTTGTTAGGTCGTCTTTTCCTTACCGTGCATCAGTATAACTATTGGTGCTGAGAGCCCATAATTATTTAACGTTACTAGCAAAACTGACTATGTAGTGCTACATTGCTATCCTCAAACTCAACAGGCAATTGGAGTAATTGGTTGTACAAGGCGTTATCAATATTCTTCCAGTCTCTTTCTGTGCATAATATATTAAGTATGGCAAGGCTTACAACACCCAGTGAAAACATTAATTGATTTTATTTTTCTAGATGAAACATGCACCCGTAGTTAGAGAGGAGAAGACAATTATCTTGAAATGCCAGCAAATGATAATGTTTCATTGGCCAAAACGACGATTCATTTTTCATTTTTTCCCCAGTCTGTTATCAAAACTGGCACAAAGTGAAAATATATATCCTTTCCGTGATACAGTACTCCTTTTGGTGGTCTTCTCCGTTACCCTTTCCGCCTCTCTGGTTCAATGAGTTGGTAAACATTGCCCGGCGTTTCCAGTTACGCTGTCGATGCCTGGGCATTGGCCGTCCACAGATTTCAATCTCGTTTGTTTATATCTGGGTATGCCAGTGACGACGGAACTGGAGAAATAGCACGCAGAGCTAGTCGTGCTGTCGCATAGGTCACAGCAGTTTTCGAACTGCTTTGGAGCTTGCTGACCTAGTGTATTCCGCAAGAGAAAACGAGAAAGTTTTTTTTCGAAACATCAAAGTACATTCTTAACAAGAAGTGACATTAATGTGTAAATGTTACAAGTTGAAGCCCACCATTCATTTAAGGAGTTACGGGAAGGCGATTTTTGCCTTCGTCACTTGGAGACTTTCTGAAAAGAGACGCTTCACCTGTTCCAGAACGACATCTACGTCAGCAAAGTGACGAGGGATATGGAGGTCGACAAACTTCGGAGCCGAATACAAGTAAGTGATCCGGAGGACTCTGGGAAGGAGAGAACCCTGGCCATGCGAGTCTACCAGCTTGCTAATTAAATTTCCCAGTAAAATTTGCTGAGGAATATTGAATGTAGCGCACGACTCTGGTGGCATAGTTGGTTGGTACCATAGCGTCTGTAACAGCGTAACATTCAATGGCAGCAAATAAGCTCTTTGCTCTTGCCACCTACGTCTTCAGCTTTGTAGATATGGTGCTGAAAGGCTAAGACATCTTATTTAAAAAATGTATTTCCTATTTTATTTTGATATCTGAGGCCTGTTTCACTAACAAATAAAGTGTGTAATTACAAAGAAAAAACTTGAGTTTAAAAGAAATATTTACCAACATTTGAAATTTGGATTTCACGAAACCTCCGAGCATGAATTTTGAGTTTAAAATTTATCAACTTTTTTACAAGAAAAAAGTTTGTAAGAAACATCGAAATCGCAAACTTTCTGTTTCACGAAGACCAAAAACTTGAAAGAAAACGTTGTACTTACAAACCCGAAATTCCAGTGGCTCTTACGTTCGGAATTTTATTACTTTTTGTGCAATGATGCAAAGCAATCAATTATTTAAAACAAATATGATATGCTGAGTCATTATATGCTCTTTTTTACTTAGCACAATCCCTACGAACCAGCTACGAGCAATAGAAAAATATCGTCATGTTTGGTCATTCGCGCGCCATAATTGCATTCAACAGTCTTCTGCTGTCAAGTGTTTTGCGTGTTATTTTCTTTCAATAATAAAATATTGTGAACTATCATTTATACCATTTAGAAACAGCATCATTATTTATAATTTATTCATGCATTTTTTGACATGAATACTAGACATAATTTGATAAAAAGAAGCAATATCTGTAACATGTTGTAGTTCTTGATTAAAAACATTTTTACTGTTTACAAGTTTTTTTGCAAACTCTTTTTATCGGAGGTGCCGCTGGTGATGAAGTTTAGTGAAATCCGATTTTACATAGTTTGCAAAAATACTTATGAATTGTATAGTTCAAACACTTGTAATCGCAAGTTTTTAGTGAAACAGGCCTCAAATGTAAAAAAGGAAGAGGGAAGCTCCCAAGATAAAAATTGCGTCTATGCTTGCCCACACAAATGCTAACATACCAACTTGAATGCGGAATGCATAGATAATTCTGACAATATCAAAACATAATAAAACCTATATTCGTTTCAATCGTGTCCAATTTTATGGAATTCCTGCCTCCATCCAATGTGTTCCCCATACCCCAGAATCGCGAAACAAATTGGGCCAGCACCTCATGCTCGAGTTGTTTTTTTTTTCTCTAGGTTCTTCAGGAGGACATCACCTCAGAGTTTCGCTCTCAGCTCTCCACCATTTTGGAGCAGCATTTGGCTGGTCTGGAACAGGTCTCTGCACCGCGCGAAAATGGAGACGTCAAAGGCAACAAACGGTGAGACGTGCACATAAATGTCCGTTTGGTGACTAAGTGACTTTGTATGTAAATTGTGTGTTTTTGTATTTGAAACACAGTTAAACATTGTTAATTGTCCCTTGCGATGATACACGAAGCTTGTACTGATTGATACGAACTGTATTTGATAATGTTCAGCTACATGAACTCAGGCGAAATTTCAGACTGGACCAAGTTTTCCCGTACGCGCCATTTTGCATTATGTATATCAGATATCCAGTGTGCACTATTGGTCTTCCTTCTGAGCCCTCAGGAGCAAGGGAAAACAGTTTGTGGCCCGGGAGTCTCTGCTCACTGAGCTGTTTGAGATCAGCCACATTCGCACAATCTACCACATCTTCCTGGCCATGCTGGCGCTGATGTTTCTGCACTCCATCCTATACGACCTGGCTGAGCTAGACTCGTAAGTGTTTTGATTGCGAGTTTGGTGGACGGTGCATGACAATTGTTTTATCGATGGGCTTTGACGGCATTCTACAGAACAATTTTCTTAGTTTCATTTGAATACATTTAAAATTATTTCGTAACGTCATCACGAATGATCATCGACGTTTGTCTATTGCTAGTTATTCATATCTTCCGAAATGCTTCCTTTCGACTCAAACTACTTGATGATAACTGACGGATATGGGGATTTATAAAAAGGCACAATAATCAGCTAGCAGTTTTGTAGCTTTCACTTTTGGTGTACTTTTATTGCACTTGGCCTTCAATTGTTTACCCTATATGTTCTGCTATTAGCTTTGCGATCGCTGACCATGCATGAGGCCCTTCCCCCTCTAATGAGGTCATCACATGTGACATCACTTCATATACCGTCTTTCGCTGCGGTAGAATACAGCTGAGTCTCAACATCATCGTGTACGCGTTTGGCGAGGTGCGACTGACGGCAGAGCTCTGGCTCATGATGTTCTGTTCGGCTGTGTTCATCGTCTATCCCTTGTTTCACTTTTGGGCCTCTCACCGCTCCTCAAACCCAGGTAAGTAATGTGTGAACACATGTGGCTTAAGCCAGAGTTGTAGTTTTTGCGGCTGTGTTATCGCACGCTGGTATGATAAAAAATCGTAGTAGGTCAGAGTCCACGGAGGCATAGAGTCCGTCCCGCCCTCGATCTCAATGTCAATGACGTTAGATAATGGCTATATACAGTTCCTATCTCGAGTGTAGAGTTTGTTCGAGCGTGGTGCCATTCCGATAGATCAATATCTATGCAATAATAGCCACGGAAAACCACCGATGGATACTTGAATACGAATTTCAGGCTATATAAGGTATAATAATGGTCACAATGATGAATACACAACAGTCACTAAGAGCATTTTATTCATCTTCGGTCATGATATACCAAATCTTGGGCTAGGTCTAGCGTTCAACTAAATCGTATGATGTCAGACAGCTTTTGTCAAATTGTCAGGGCACTCATATTTCTTTTTCAATAGAAAAAACACAATTCAAACGAATAGGGTTTTACTTTTGACAACAAAACTTCGGTTATTGTTTTTTTTTTGGTAATGCTCCGTTCGTTTTCCGCTGATTTATTTGACCTGCATTCAGCATTTTTAACTGGCCGTGGGCGTTTTCAGCGCTGTTTGACTGGCTGTTTGGCTCGATGTTCGTCGCCTACTGCGGCTGCCTTTTGTATCTGCCCGCTGAGCAGGTGCTCCACCATCGACTGCCCCCGGCTTCTTCATTCATTGTCATCTTGGAGCAGGTATAGATGGAACTGATATACATACAATGGACACTCTGCTGATTCAGGGTGGGGTAAGAATAGCTCAACAAGAGCTTTTTCGCCACTGCCTAACTTCATACGCCTTTTGATCGAAACAAAGGAAAACTAAAAAGCAGCTACGAAGTGTATCTGATGAAAATGTTGCTATTGATCGTATTTTGCTAAGTGTCTTTTTTGGTCTTTATTTTCTAATTTTATGATGCGTTATTATGCTTGCTTATTTTCTCCTTTTAGATCCGTCTCTTTATGAAGGTGTACGGGTTCGTGCGATCGAACGCTCCAATGGCAATGGCATCGGAAACTAAGGAGTCTGATCGATGTCCAAACTTCAACAAGTTTCTGTTCTATCTGTTCGTTCCAACCCTCGTCTATCGTGACAGCTATCCCAGGCAAGTGCTGCGTATAGAAACTGTTGTAAGGATTTTTTATCTTTTTGAATTTAGACCCGAAGGAGGTAACGGAAGTCATTTTGGTATGTACTATGTTGGGTCTAATGGATCAAGGCCCTTTCGGTCTAATGATACAATATCAAAGATCGGTGGAAGTGGATCACTCGCTACAGGTCAACTACACTAACGGGTATAGGGACTAGAGATGTCAATCGGATACCAACTTTTTGGTATACCGATACCAAACCGATACCAACTTGGTATTTGGTATTTCAATCGTAATGTGTTCGGTATTTTGTTGGTATCATAAACCCTCACTAATGTATACGAGGTTAAGAAATCGGTAAAAAGTTGGTATTTCCCTCATTTTCCCAAGTTGGTTTGGTTTCGGTATTTTCCCGTGGTTTTGGTTGGTATTTGGTTTGGTATCCGTATTCCGATTTTCCGTAATTGACATCACTAATAGGGACTGCATCAGGTCAGCGGTGAACGGATATAACTCCTGCATCACCTCGACCGTGAACGAGTGTAAGGTGTGCACTAGGTCGGCAGTGAACTTACATATTGTAGACCTAGGGCCTCTCTGAACCAGGTCTCGACAGTTGAGAGATGTCGCCTCCGTCTGCCACACCACCGCCCTGGGTCTAGGTGACGCCACCGGAGCCAATCTGCTCCGCTAGGCCACAGGCTGTTGCGATGGTAGTGTCTAACTTATACTGCTTGGTTAATAAAACGTCAGTTGTGTCATGCATCTTCCCAGAACACTATAGAGATTCTGCAGTTGTTCTGCGACGTGACATACTGGGATGTCACAATGAAGCATAGAAATGTGTTGAAAATTTGAGTTCACTCGGTCGGGGGCTGAGAATGGGTCAATATAACGTCGTCAAATATAGCGCTTAATCAGATCAATATCAAACGCTGAACAGCTTTAAAGGAAATAGTTCACTTTTAACATGGGGTTTTGAGCTGGAATAGCAGTTTCGTAGCTTGAGCTGAGACTAGCACAAATCAGGAGCTTTTACGGCTCAACGATCACCCTAGACGAAGATATTCCATTTCTCGTTCCGAAAAGAGTGCCTTGTAGAGGAATGCGTGCCTTGCACAGGAATGCAGCCACGTCATCGTTAGCCAATCAGCGTGCTGCTTACAGCCAATGCAGTATGCGTAGGTTTGAGCTACGCAATATGATTGGTCAATGCGTAATAAGCTTCCGCGTCAAACATTATTTTACATAGAATATAGTTCGTCCTATATTAAAATATAGAAAATAATTGTTTTTACAAAAAGGTTTTATTTTATTTCATGATTATTTTGAGCATAAAAAAATCATAAATCAATTGCAAAATACTGATTTCAGGAAAGTGGACTGTTTCCTTTAATAAATCATCACCCCGTCCGTCGTTCCTATCCTAAGGACATTCAAATCCTTCTCCTCCACGCCGTAGCCCTAGGTCCGGGCTGGACAGGCGACTTTTTCTCGTACCGGCTGCCCCCTTGGAGCGGCTCCGCTGCTCCTAAGCTGGAGCACACCCGTAGCCGGGTGCAGAGAGTGCTGGGGGGGGGGGGCTGGTCGGCCTGTCTTTTTGGACGGCCTCGGTGACTCGCTAGGGTGCCCGCCCAGACCAATATCTTCCCCTAATTGCTATCATCCTTACGGCTCTGAAATGATCTTGTCAGACCGAAATAGCCTAACCCAACAAAACAAACAAAAGAAATCATGAATGTGGCATATCACTGTAGGGTAGTAAATCGTTCTGTCATTAACCAATATCGGATCACCCAGCATTCTCATCGAACTTCTCACCTCACCCGTCACTAACGCCCTCCCGTCACCCAGGACCAGTCAAGTGCGCTGGCGGCTGGTGGCTCTCCATTTCGGCCAGGTGGTCGGCTGCGTGGTCTACACCGCCTTCCTGCTAGAGCGGCTGGTGCTGCCGCCCTTCCAGCGGTACGGCCTGGGACGGATGACCTGGCGGCACCTGGTGGTACACGTCTTCGGCAGCGTGATGCCCGGCATGCTGTGCTACCTGTGCGCCTTCTTCGCGCTGCTGCACGCCTGGATGAACGCGTTCGCAGAGATGACGCGCTTCGCTGACAGGATGTTCTACCAGGTACGTTGGATGGGGCGGTAGATAGAGGTGTGGTATGCGGTTGACATAGGTTCGTTGTATTGGCGACAGTATGTTGTCCCAATTGCATGTTATTGCACACATATCACTCACCAGTATCGTATCACGTATTGGTAATGTGTTTTTCCGCAATAGCATTATGATCATGGATCGCTTGCCCGCAAGTTTAGCTGGTCGAATACAGACTTCTTTGAATGCAGAGTACGATAGCAATCAATACGGGAGAAAGCAAAATTTTAGTCACAACCTCCTTTCTCCAACACGGATGAATAGCATACGTGATCATCACAAAAACTAGCTTCCGCCGTCCCTGACAATTTCCGCCGACTGTTTCGGTTTGTTTAGCCACTTCACAGTCCGCTCCACCGCTGTTTTAATTGGCACCACTTGACCTACTGTAACAACGCTGCAGGATTGGTGGAACGTGACCAACTACGCGAGCTTCTATCGGACCTGGAACATAGTGGTCCACGATTGGCTGTATGAATACATATACACGGTACGAACGGTACGGGAGGGGAACTTTTGTCCTTACCGGAAGTTTTGATAAATTCATGTTGGAAACTCAGGAGTTTCATTTTAAGCATAACTTAGGAACAAAGCACTGAAATGATACAAGAAATTACTACAGCTATGTGAAGTGAAGTACTTGATTTTTCAGCTCGAAGTATTACCAGCCGAAATGAAATAGTTAAAATAGCTCTTTTTGTGATATTTCGGTCGACATGTCATTCACTGTTTGATCATTGTCTGCCGTCTGACAAATTATAAAATAATGAGTAATTTTTATGTAACTCATTTGGGCTGATACCTAATATCCGAAGAAAAAGGTTAAGAGTTTTGCTTATAAAATAACTGCACTCATATGCTCATAACTAAGTTACTCGCAAGGGCACTAAGGAGTATAAGCGCCACTTACATAAAGTAAGCTGCGATTTCCTTTGTGTAATATATGTAACTGAGCGAAACGTAGTCGCAATAGCTTGTCTGCTATGCCTACTCGTACTCTTACGGCTAGGCTAGTTAACACACTTCACAAATGATCGTTAGTTGATGGTTGTGCTTCCGTCATATGCTTATACTATAACGATGTCGCTTATTTCAGGACGTGGCCCGCCTTCGAGGGAAGTTTTTGGCCACTCTGTCGGTTTTCGTGGTCTCCTCAATCGTTCACGAGTACACACTGATGCTGGTCTTCAATTTCTGCTTCCCCGTACTGTTTATCCAGTTCGGCGTATTTGGAGGTGAGGAATACATATAGCGAGCAAATCCTTCATGATTGTGAACTACGATCAGGGGCGTCGCCACGGATTTTTGAGTGGGGGGGGGGGGTCGGGTTTCCGGTCTTCGTCTTGATGGGTAGGGGTGTTTTTAGCCACACTCCCGGTTTTTTCGTGTGCCCGGAGAAAAACCTCGGCGCGCAGCGCCGCGAAAGCAGCGGTATATCTTATTGTACATCAATTTTGCATCGTGCATAAAAATCAAGCACAGGTCACCTGAGGTCAGGTCACAATGTCATGTCAAGTTCAGTTTTAACCCGCGCCCCACTGGGGTCTGCGTATAACACGCCCTACTGGGGGGGGGGGGGGGCTATTCATAGCCCCCCCTCCTAACTCCGAAACTACTGGGCCGATCGTCAAAATTCAAACGGCGTCTGATAGCCCCGGAAAAACTGTCGAGCGAAACCTAATTTTATTGACCTCGAGGTCACTGATGACGTCACAGGTCAGGTCAAAGTAAAAATTATTAGCATTTTGGCTTCTTCACGTTTTGGGCTCTGGCCGCCGTCTTACAAGTCAGATCAGGCTCATTTTTGGTTCACACACTCGTGAACAGATGCTCTAGATACTCTGAGGGTACCAAACTTGTACTTTGATTTTCAGGTCAAGGTCAGGTCATCACAGGTCACGAAAATATTATATCATCCGTCGGTCACGTGACACATGTTTTATGGTCCATTTAGGCCAAATATTTCGAATTTGATGTCGTCTGTGTCATGCGAGGTCATTTTGAGTCAAATTTAGCTCAGGTCAGGTCACTTTCAGGTCAAAAAGATCAAATTTTGAAGTTAAAATTTTTCAACAAAAAAGGTGTCTATTCGATGCAGTTTGAGCTCAGGAACACGATGGTGCTATTTATATTGGCGTACGATGTCAAATTCGTGCTGAAAAATTAATTTGAAAAATTAATAATTGTTAATTTTTTGCAATAATGCGTATAACTTGGCCATTTTTGAAGATATTTAGCTAAAACTTGCTAGAGGTAGTCATGATAATGCGTTCTATCACATATATTCCGGTTTTTCGAAAAGTCAAAAACTTTTTGAAAAAAATGTAAAAATATAGATTTTGAATTTGATTATTTAAAATTTTCGAAATTTTCAAAATTTCGAAAATCCGAGATAGCAGTTTGATAGCGCAGTCAATTCTGAGTCCTCTCATGCAAAGAAATTGGATCTAGCTTAAAAACTGAGCTCTTGGGAGCGATTGTCGTGGTTCAATGTTTTGCGTCGAAATCGGCCGAACATGACGTCACTCTGACGTCATTTCCGGCCGACCTATGGTAGGTACGAAGTTCAAATTTTGACACAAGGTGTCAAATTGATGCAGCCGAAGGTACTGAAAGGTTGGCGTCGATAGGTCAAGCGGTTTGGAAGTTATTGCAGAAAAACGGGAGGGGGGGCTATAAATAGCCCCCCCCCAGTGGGGCGCGGGTTAATGCCTCTTAAAACTGCAATCTTGTCATTCCTATAGATAATCTCCTGACTCCTATAAGTCTGAAATTTGGTGAAATGAATGGGATTATAAGTGCCAACAGTTCATGGATCTGGGATTTTACAACTGAGAAGTGAAGTCAGGTCAAATAGGTATGTGACCTCACCAATCATGATAAGATATGGGGAAAAGCACGATGCCTTCTGCTTTGAAAGAATATGCTAAAAACGCTAGATACGTTTGTAGCCATGGCACCTTGACATTTTAGAGACAAGGTGCAGCTAATGACCATTGGTGACTGGAATGGTCAGAGATTAGGTCATCAAAGGTCTCTAACACATTTTCGACAACAACTTTTAATGGAGACGTTGTAGAGCGATGACAGCACCTGGAGTGTGTTCAGCTCAGTAACACAGATCGATCCATATGCAGCAGGTTCTTTTCTAGTCAGGTTATGACCTTTACCTGATGTCAAGTTATCTATTCAAGTTCAAATTGTAAGCCATGCGACGTGTTTCGACGAAACAAAAACGATGGTGATAACATGAATATCATACACATTCACTGAATCATAGGTTGTTACATAGCAAATGTTTCGGCAAAATCCGTCCGTTTAGCTGTTTGGACTCTATGGTACACAAGCCATAGACCCGAAGTCATATCTAAGGCGAACTTGGCGAAAGAGCTTTAAAAAAGCTATCGAATACGCTTTCTGTGTTGCTGTAGGTTAGCTCTTATTCGTATTTTACGGGTCGCTAAGGTAAAACGCTTACCAAGGTAATGCTAAGGCATGCTTTCGGCCCCTGATCGAGGTAGAGCTTCGTGGACGAGCGAGAATGCTGCCCGTGATGAGAGAAAGCCAATGATGCCCAATTTTAAGGTCTTGGCCGGGTCATCTTAGGTCAACGCCCAAAAGTAGGAAAAATCTGGCCGCCTGCAAGATCTTAGTGAGCCGTAGCTGTTATCGGGGTCCCGAGTACGAGTTTGATGTTAGTCTTGAACAAAAATGATGACTCCATGCATTTTGGGTAGATCGGGTCGGGTCAGGTCAGGTCGACCAGCAGGCTTCCTGCCGGCCATCTAGAGTGGGTGACTGACAACCACCAACGATAGCTTCGTAACATGTTACATAACCACCATTTATCAAAACTACTTCAAACGGTTCAAACGGGCGCTAAACTCGAAATCAGCCCCAAAACCACACTTGTAAGTGCAATGGAAGCAAATAAAACTCAAAAAAGTTAACCAAGGTCATCCATATTCGAATCAGGGCAATTTTTTTTAGAATAGGTGTGAAATTCATTAACTCGAGGTCACTGGAAGTTTCGTTGCAATATACTACTTTTTGCGCGTCTTATTAGGAAAGCCCCAGAGGGATCCACCATTGACCCCATTTCCCCTATGCAGGCAGGTCCGAGGGTATACCCTCGGAAGGGTATTAGCAGGGCTGAGGCTAGCCAGGTACCTCGTAGTTACTGATACGTCATCCGACGAATCGACTGCAACCATTATTTTGACAATCAGACGAACGCTTGGGTCAGTTTTGACGCGCTCGCTCATTTGAGGGATAAAAGGGGACTAGAATCATATTGTCATGCTAATGTTCTAGCCCACAGCTTATTGACCTATAAGCAATAGGGACTAGGGAGCTCTTGAAGCGATTCTGAATCTGACCTTGTATTTGTTGATGTTGCTGACGCCAACTTCCCCGACATGATAGCTAAAAAAGCATACTCAGCATCGCCAAAAGTGGGGGGGGGGTCGACCCCCCCGACCCCCCGTCGGCGACGCCCCTGACTACGATCATGTCCTGAGTAAATTTTCTGGTCAGCCTTTTGGACGGTCGAAATATCATTGACTCGAAAACAGCATTTTGTAATAAAAGACGAGATGTTTGTTATGAATCGTGCAATAATGTGGCAAATGGAAGAGCAGAGGAGACAGAGATCATCATGACGTGTAAATGATTCTGATGTTACCGCGGCATGTTCCTTGTTGCAGTTCTGTTGCACTTTTTCAACGTGCGCAGTGCCGGAGGAAACGTTCTACTGTGGATGACACTGTCCCTGGGAATCGGCATTGACCTGGCCTTTTACGCTGCCGAGTGGTACGCTCGACAGAACTGCCCATCAATTTATGTGAGTATCTGTCTGTATGTGGAATGTGGATGCTGACAAAAGACTTCTGCTGATGTTAGGCATGGGAGGCGAAGGATCGGACTGGGAGGAGAGGAGAGGAGGGGGTCTTTGATGCAATTCAGTGTTTTTATATCTAATATGGAGTGTTTTATCACATGACGAGATCCGCGGAATAGGAATTCAACTATATGTACGAGTACTTGGTGGGAAAGGAAAACAATGAGCTGGAGGGTTCGAAGTTCTGGTTCTTAAGCTCTCAAAATATACCAATAAACATGGAAAACCTTGACAATATCCAAAACATATCTTCTCACAGCAATCGCTTCCATCGCTCGTCTTTGTTTCAGGAAAACGTGTACGCCGACTTCTTTTCATCCCGAGCGCTGTCGTGCTGGTCAGGAAACGGCGTGGCCGACACCGTCGTCAGGGCGTCCGCGTGATTGCAGTGCCAACAACTCAGTGAGGGAATGACAATGACTGTGAGCGGCCGGGCGGGGCGGGGAAATATTGCACGCCCACCCGTCGTGGTGCCAATTGCGACTGGCTTTGTTGCGGGTGCCCTGTTTTTCCCGCTTACTTAGGTAACTTGTAAGTTTTGGTCCATCGCACCGTTGTCACAATGCCAAGGTGATTCAAGTAACTGGTAGCATACGTGATTGTGATCTGTTACGTGAATAAGGGGCATGTCTGTTGTTGTTAAACACATTTTGAAGTGAGTGCAAGATACCTTCGGGCGACAGTACGCTACATTCGCCTGCAAGTTTATGAGCCAGCATGTATTCCCACTGAACCCTGCGTCAGATTCAGTGTGAATTTAAGTGTGTAATACATATAATGATAATTATTAAATAGATATTTCATGCATATCAATTAAGTGTTTCCTCGTTCATTCAAACACACGACGGAAGACAGCTTAACCCGGCACCGCCTGGGCTATTTCCGTACCCACGACAGCCTGGGGGGGGGGGGGGGTCGGATCCGACCCCCCCTGTTATCTCGAGAACCAATGGTCGTATCGAGCCCCGCGAGGCGGCGTTCGAAAGGTCTCTACGAGACCTTCCCAAAGCACTCTTAAGATTTTAAGATTGAGGTCAACTTTCGGGTCAAGGTCAGGTCAAAGGTCAAATTCAGGGGTTTTGCATGATTAGGCTTACGGACAGCAGAATCGATAGCTGCTACTCGAAACTCACCAAAAATGACATCAAAGGCCTAGTGAAGGTACCATGTGCGTATAGGGGTCATACTAAGTACGGGTCAAGGTCAGGTCAGGTCACGAAAGGTCACGGTTTTCACTTTCTGCTACATGGGCGTGCGACACATGTTTTATGGCTTATTTTTCACGCCGAATCCGATGGTAATGGTTATATGTGAGCCCAAATCATTGTGCTGGTGATAAGTGTGCATTGAAAGCATAAAAATCGTTTATTCCATACATAACTAAACGAGGGCTGAGAAAAAAGGTCAATTTTCCAACTTTTTATTTTTGACATAAAAATGCACTTTTCTAGACGAGCTTTGTCCCAGGAATCTAGCGGTGCCATTTGTTTCCACATGCGATGTTCAGAAGTGCCTCTAATTCACGAAAATGCTTATAACGTCACCATGCCCTATGCATGTTGGAGCTATTTTTACAATTTGGGGGTCAAAAATCAAGATAGAAAGTTGAAATTTGGGGCATCTAATGTTCTAATAGAGCTCTACAACATATTTCGGTTTTTTGGAAATTCCCAAAATTTTGGACTTTATTAGCTGTTTTCCAAAAAATATAGTTTTTTGAATTTTTAGGGGTAAAAACGCATTTTATGGAAAATCCGAGATAGCCATTTTAAAGAACTCGTTGAGCTGCGTCTTTTCATGTCCTTAATTAGCAATTTGCTTTAAACCCTTATTTTTGGCGATTTTTTTAACATTTACCACTTTTTTACTAAAAACGCCATGTAGTAGCATCACTAAAATCGATATATCTCAAAAAATTTTGGAATTTTTTTCTTAAAATTGCACAGGAGACGTCAAATTGATGGAAGAGAAGGTATGCCAAGTTTCAAGTAGATAGCGTAAGTGGTTCATGAGTTATTCAAGAAAAACGGAGGGGGGGGGTCGGATCCGACCCCCCCCAGGCGGTCGCGGGTTAAATGTCGGGAATAAGAATGGCATTATTATACTTCTACGTTGTGTTATGTTAATGGGAGTCTTGCACAAAAGAATGTAAAAACTGTTTGATGTTAATATAATTATATATTAACAGGAGTTAATAATAATTATAAATATAATATAATGGCTGCGAGCCTCGGGACACCCCTCCATCAGGATTATTGCGAGCCTGGCGATTCTTTTTTTCGCATCAGAATATGGCACAGCAAGACAGACGAAACTTGGCATGCCTTGCAGGTTGCCGCGGTAACCATTTCATAATGAATAATCCTCCAGACTTAGACGTTATTTGTGGCCATTTCTGAAGAGCAGAGCATAGACAAACATTGATAAGACGTAAAGGAAGCACAGAGCGCGATGGTTAACCCGCGCGGGGCTGGGGGGGGGTAAATTTTACCCCCCCCCCTCGCGAATTTTTGCGATATCTCAAAAACGGCGGCGCGCAGCGCCGCCAAACTTTCAGTACCTTTTCTTACATCGATTTGACACGTTCCCTGAAAATGTGAGCGAAATCCGTTGGAAAATTTTTGAGAAATTGATGTTTTAGTGACGTCATGTTCGCCATTTTCGCCTCAAAAACGGCAAAAGTTCAAACGCCGCTAACATCTTCATTTTTAAAGGAATCAAGACGTAACAAAAAAGGTTATACGTAATTTTACTTTGTCTATCAAATGGCTATCTCGGTTTTTTGAAAATTTTGGATTTTGGCCTGAATTTTTTCAAAAAACTGACTTTTTTGGGAAAATCATTATAAAATCCAAAATTTTGAGTCTATCGAAAAAACCGGAATATATGTCAGAGAAGTGGTCTATGTGCACCTACATACCAAATTTTAGAAGAATCGGTTAAAAAATGTGGGAGTTATTCAAAATTTTATGACGTCACGACACACAAATTTTTTGAAAAATGACTTTTTTGGAAGTTCTAGAGCTCGTACGGAAACAAAAATAGCACCATTCGATTGGCCGTGAAAAACTGCATCAGATAGACACCTTTTTAGGCCTTAACAACCAACTTCAAAATTTGACCTCGCTTGACCTGACCTTGACCTGACCTCGACCTGAAATTCATCCAGAGGTGGTCCATATCACTTATTGAGTGTGCCTATTGAATTCTATGAGTAAAATGACCCATAAAACATGTGTCGCACATGCCCTTTTCTATATTTTGTTTTTTGGTGACCTGACCTGACCTGACCTGACCTTGACCTTGACCTCTGAATGATATTGTATGCAACGAATATTGTCTTGGTAGCCTAAGAACACGTTTTGGGCGATCAGTCTCAGTCCATGACTCCATTCTTCGGCAACTACGGTGCAAGGCCGATACTGTAGAAACTTGCAATTTGTACCCTTGACCTGACCTTGACCTTGACCTCAAACTTTACATTAAGTACATGTTTTTAGTAGTTCGTGATGAGAGCTTTCGATTGGCGTTTGAATTTTCTAAATCGGACCATTAGTTCGGGAGATAACAGGGGGGGGGTAAAATTTACCCCCCCCAGCCCCGCGCGTTCGGCTGGAGACCCCAGCCCCGCGCGGGTTAACCCTCGCCCGCACATGCCATTTTGCCATTCTAGAACGCACATGGGGGGGGGGTGCCATCCCCCGCGCCATTTCGTTCCTGTTGGAGATAGAGTTTCGCGGCGGTAAGGACCAAAAATATTTTTTTTTGGGAAGAGACAAATATAATGATACCCAGTTTTACCTTCTCAGGTCAGTCATTGACCTTCCAGGTCAGGTCAAACTAAAAATGTTGCTGTTTTGGGTCACCGATGGATATCAAGTGCGCTGCTCACCATATACCGATGACGATGCCGTTTTGTGGTGCCAAGCAAGCTAGAACCTCTTTGTCGCACTATCCGACCAGGTTTTTGCTCCTGAGGTCATTTCAGGTCAAGTTAGGTCAAGGTCAATGATATGTGTTTATATGTCTGTGTGTGTGTATGTGTGTATGTTACTCTATGCTGATGTGTGCACCGATTGTTTATGTGTCCATATTACATGAGATCATGAGATGAGAAGCTTTTACCAAAAATACAGTCAAATAAACTTCACGAAAAGTAAATTCAGCTTGCCTGAAACGTAATGTTTTTAGATGACCTAGGTTGACCTTGACCCTGACCTTGACATCTGTACATCGTTGAACAACATGTTCCATGATTGGTGGGAGGTAAATACTGGCAAAAAAGGCCGAAATAAAGGTGTCAAAAGCTCACAAGAGCAATAGCCAACGCAAGATATTGATTATTTGTCATTTGGGTCATGACATGACCTGAAGAATAAGGTCATATCTCCAAAACCAAAAGCCACAGAAACTTTAAATTTTCAGTGGAAACCAAAAAAAGATCGAGGAGCAGCTATACGCAAAATCAGGCTTCTAGCTTTAAAAATATTGAGTGCAGAGCAGAAAAACTACCTAGAGGGTGGCAACCCCCATGTGCGGGCGAGGGTTAACCTGCGCCGTGCTGATGGCCCGTGTTTTCCGTGTCTTGCTGGGGGGGGGGGGGGCTGGCGTTTTCACGCCCCCACCTCTAACTTGGCTTCTGGGCCACCTAGCGACACGCGGTAAGCGGCAATCGAAAGAACGTCAAAAATAATGACGACAAACTTGGTAATTTTTTGAGTCAGGTCAAAGGTTAGGTCACCAGAGGCCATCAACGGACAAATTTATGTAGTCAATTTCAACAACTTTGGAAACTTCCAACGGCTAGGTCGGGAACCAATAGAGCTACAGCGCCGCGGAAAAGCGCATTTGATAGCCCTTTTACAGACCTCTCTGACTAATTTCCTCAGATTTGACCTCATGTCAACGGTTCAGCCTCCAGAGGGCAAAAACTAAAAAATAGCCGTTTTCACGAACAATGGTTATCGGTAATAACTTTTGACTCAAGAGAGCCACGATATTACTTTTGCCAGCATCGTGTTCCTCTCGTCGAGACGCGTCGAGTAAACTATACGTTGACCTTGAAAGGTCTTTTTAAGAATTTGACCCCAGGTCAAGGTCATGTCCTGACCGAAAAGTGTCATGCTGCACATCTGTCGATTTGTATCGTCGAGCTGAGCACATCTGACGTGTTTTGACCGCTCTAGCACGTCTTTATCAAAAGTTATCGCAAAAAACTGCTGGTGACCGTTAATGACCTGAGATGTCCTCAGGGACACACAGAGGGGTCACAGGTGCATTTTTCCGATTCAGTGTGTCATTTTTACCTATGAACTGATGTTTTAGAGGGGTTTGAATGACATTTGTCCAAAAGAGGTGCATTTCAATTTTCTCCCATTAACTTATAATGGAGAGGTCGCAAAATTGACCTGACCTTGGGTTACAGATATGAAAAATCCGAGAGTTACATTTTATACACACTGTCATTGACAACTGAAACGGGTCGGACGCAGGGCAGGCGCACCACAGTCAGGGCAATTGAATGATTCGAGCGTGGGCTGGACCTTGGCTGGACCGCTGTGCCCGGCGGACAGATATGGACGGAGAGAGCGCTAAACAAACAACGCTGACACTGAAACACAGTCGGATAGCGAATCGTAGTGAGCTACAGAAGATACATCAATAATTAACAGCAAAGCCGACGGTTAGAAAGAATATGAAAAGCGTAAGAGAATATTAATATGGAACATACGTAGCCGCACCATAATTCTTCTAACCCTCTTTAAATACTTCACAATCAAATGTGTTAGCTACACCAAAATAAGCATAAGAGC